AACACTAATCCAAAGGACATGGACCCAACATGAAACCACCTTACCAAAATCAGAGCCCAGAAATTAGATGTCAAGATGGAGTCCTGTAGCGTAGAGGTTAATGCGCTCAACTGGAAAGCTGGAGGACCAGATTCCTGGCAGGGTGAAACCTTAGGCAAGATTCCTTACCCCACACGCCTCTGTTTACCTTGCAGTAAGAGGAACACGGTGGTTAGTCATTTGCAGATCGCTTTCCGGGAGTAAAGATCCCTCCAAAACAAACAAACAAACAAGCAAGCAAACAATAAATTTGGTCACTCAACCCACGACTGTTTGTGGAACATCATGTGCGCGATTGACTGCTGCGTTTCACCCACAAAACACACAATCAATCTACTTTACAATATATTGTGTGAAGCGCTTTGAGATGTCTCAATGTCATGATAAGACGCTGTATCAAATGCAAGGGTTATTATTATTACCTTTGCTGTAACAGCACAGTCCCCACTCTGGACACATTCTCAGATGCAACACAAGCTAAGAATACTGGTGTACTATGTGACATATAAAGGACTTCCACTGTCCTAGTTAGATGAAAAAGTTGCTTTTCTCAGAAAGACAAGAAAAGATTGACATTTCCTAATGGACACTAACTATTAATGACTCAAATGAAACTGAGGTGGACAATTGCTTTTTACTACCACCATTTCCAACAGAAGGGTAGCTGTTTGATACACACAGCTGTCCTGATCTTGACAAGATAGTTGACTTCACGGACGAAGGAAAAACCCACAGCAATAAGAAAATTAAGAGGAAGCATGACAAAAGGATTGCCCGTTACTGGAACAGTAACAGGATAATCCACAAGCCACAGTTAAATGTGTACAATCTGCCACACATCTCAATGACGTTATAATAATAATAATCCTTACATTTGATATAGAGCCTTATCACGTCATTGAGACATCTCGAAACGCTTCACAGAATACACTGTAAAATGAATTGACTGTATATTTTGTGGGCGAAACGCGGCAGCCAATTGCACACAGCAGAGTCCCGCAAACAGTCGTAGATTGATTGACAAAATAATTATTTTCTTTTTGAAGGGATTATTACCCCTGGAAAAGCGATGTCCTTGAAGCCTCATTTGATTACTCACAAATTTGCTGAATCTGACATTTGCATTCTGTTTGAGGATCCATAAGATTTCATTCTTTTATTTATTTTATTCTGTAACAAAGTGATTCAGAAGATTTTACTGTATTGTGACTGTATTTTGTTGTCAAATGCAGCAGCCAACTTGTCAAACAATGTCCTACAAACAGCTATGAAGTGAATGAACAATTTTATTTGGGGGATTGTCGGACAGGACACTGGGAGAAACACTTCTCTTTTTGAACAGTGCTGTGGGATCTTTAACGTTCTCCTGACCAGGTAGACAGTACCTCGGTTTAACATCTCATCCGAAGGAAAGCAGCTCTAATGTAATGGAATATCAGTCTAGTCTTGAGTTCAAAGTGAGCACGTGACTGTTACAAGCCACTACACTTCACAGTGTCTCAAAGTATGAAGTGGTTTGAGATCTTGTGATGTGATAAGGGCCTATATCAAATTGACCAATTTCTCCAATGGCTGTGTAATGAGTGCCCCAGCAGGGGTCAGATTCAAGAGGGATCAGAGCCATGGTGGTGGCAAGATGACTGAAGGCACGGTCAAAAAAGAACGTCTTGAGAAGGGCCTTCTTGACTTGTGTTTCCAGTACGTTAAGGCATCCCATGTGAAGTTATCTATATAAATTCAGATCTACCATTACAATTAGAAACAAATGGAAGCTGCTTGACCTAATCGAAGAAAAATGGCAGTGGAGAGCAGGAAAGAGCAACTAAGGGAGAAAGGAACATTGTTGAACTCAGATTTTGTGGAGTCCTGTATTGGATAGAGCACTCGTCTCACAAGTGAAAGGACCTGGGTTCAATTCCTGGGCAGGGCAAAACATTAGGCAAGGGAAAAACGTTTTAAGAACCAAAAAGTGTGTGCGTTGTAAATTGTGCAGCCAGTTTCAATATAATACAAAAAGTAATGAATAATAATAAGAATCCTTATCAACTTATCACCTTATCAACATTATCGAATCATCTCAAAGCACTTCAAAGAATTTTTACATTGAAATGTATTCTCATGTCTCATGTGGTGTCCCTCAGGGCTCTGTCCTCGGTCCCCTCCTCTTCACCCTCTATATGCTCCCCCTGTGGTGACATCATCCGCAGACATGGGGTTAACTTCCACATGTATGCGGATGACACCCAACTCTACCTTTCCTCCTCTACTCTCAACTCCACGACCACCGATGTCCTGACAGCTGCCTGTCTGACATCGAGTCTTGGATGAGAGACAACTTTCTTCAGCTCAACGTGCGAAAAACCTCCTGATTGGCTCACGTCAGTGCCTCCGCACCTCAGGTGCTGACAGCATCAGCATCCAAGGCTGCACTCTCCACCTCTCAAAGCCAGTCAGGAACCTCGGCGTTTTGTTCGACCCTGAGCTGTCCTTTCTCCCTCACATCCGCACCACAACTGGCACCGCCTTCCATCACCTCCGGAACATCGCCAGACTACGGCACTACCTCACCCCTCACGCGGCTGAAACTCTGGTCCACGCCTTTGTCACCTCAAGGCTGGACTATGGGAACTCTCTCCTCGCCGGCCTTCCCGCCACCTCCCTCCACAAGCTGCAGGTCATTCAGAACTCTGCAGCTCGTGTACTGTCCCGCACCAGGCTTCGGGACCACATCACTCCCACCCTCGCTCGCCTCCACTGGCTCCCCATCCCCCAGAGGATCGAATTCAAGATCCTCATCCTCACCTATAAGGCCATCCACGGCCTTGCTCCCTCCTACCTCTCTGACCTACTATCCCCCTACCTACCTGCCCGTACCCTCCGTTCCTCCGGCTCCGGTCTGCTCCACGTCCCCCGCCCCAACCGCCCTACCATCGGTGGTCGGGCCTTCAGCCTCTCAGCCCCCAGGCTCTGGAACTCCATCCCCCAGTGCCTTCGCCTTGCTTCCTCCCTCTCCTCCTTCAAGGCCGGTCTCAAAACCTTTCTCTTTGACCGAGCCTTCAGCTCCCCTCTCGACTCTCTTCCCCCTCCTCGCTCCCTCCCTTCCCTCCCCTCACCCTGACCATTTCCCCCCTCCTCGCTCCCTCCCTTCCCTCCCCTCACCCTGACCATTTCCCCCTGCTCGGGTCCTGACCCAACTGTGCAGCGCCTTGAGACGTCCTCCTGACGTGAAAGGCGCTTTATAAATGGAATCTTGTTGTTGTTGTTGTTGTATTCGCTGTGTATTTTTAGGCAAAATATGGCAACCAGTTGTGCACAGTATGGTCCCATAAACAGCCATGGAGTGAGTGACCGATTTTATTTGAGGGATTGTTGGCCAGGAAATCGGGAGAAACTCCCTTCTTTTTGCGAATCGCACCATGGGATTTTCAACCACCTGTACAGGTAGATGGGATCTCGGTTCAACGTCTCATCCGAAGGATGCCAACTTCGGCAATGAGGACTCTACCAGCATTGCATTGGATTGTCCGTCTGCCCTGTGAGTTCAAAACACTGGCATGGAGCTTAAACCTACAACCTTCTGACTCAGAGAAGAGAGCATTACCAAGTGAGCCAAGCTGTATTAATACACCACTGCACCATTCTCTCCCAACCCACATGCCTTCCACCACCTGCAATAAACCTGAGTGTGACGAGATAAAAAGATTATAATTAACTAGAATATGCTGGGCACGGAAGCCCAACCTCTTCCAAATCTGGTAATTGGCATATTTTCTGTTATTTCAATAATCCTGCTCATAAACAAGAAATAATCCATACAAGGCTGATAAGGTGCTTGTCAACAATGTCTTTCAAAATGTGATGAATGATCATCATTTATAATCGGTTGTTGTACATGCATGACGGAAATTAATGAATTATTAGTTCTTTTCTGGAATCTTACCGCAAAGAAGCTTCGCTTTATGGACCTTCCCAAAATTTATATGAATCATTTTGGCACGTCTCCACAAGTGATTTCTTTCCACCTCCATGTGATTGTTTGTACCAGAGGAGGAAGATGAGAATGAGATGTCTGATGCAGAATACCTGTCACACTTCCTGAGGATAAGATATCTTCACTCTCGCGCCCCTCTGATACAAAGACTGTATATATATAAAACAAATTGGTTACTTGATCCACAACGGTTTGTGGGACACTGCTGTGCATAATTAGCTGCCGTGTTTCGCCCACTAAGCTACAGGACTCCCTGATGATCTGAGCATATTTATTTAACAACAACTTAGGAGGGGGAAGCGCAAATAGACTAAAAGCTATTATATTGACCTCCTCATCCCAATCTTTTTTATATTAATGATATTCGATTGTATTTCTCATGTTGCTCTCCAAACAACAAGTTTGTATACAGTAGTAGAGGAGAATAAGCAACAATGGATTCTTCTGTGCAATGATGTCCCTATTGAATGGTATATTTCTGGTCAAGATTTCGTATGAAAATAACCTTTTTTGCCATGTTATCATTGGCTTACATTGAATAAGCACAATTTTGAGGAGTGATACTTTAGCTGAAACCCTGTTAATAATTGATCTCTTATGACCCAATCTTTGTTTGTGCGGACTTTGATCCTTAATCAACCATCTCTGAATTAACTTAGGAGCTGTGCCTCAACTCAATACATTAGGTTCAGAGGTAAACTTTAGGTTGTTAGTATAATAATAACTGTGGCCTTCATGTGGAGAAGCATCTCTGAGTGGTTGTATAAGTCAGTTACAAAGTCTTTTTTCATCACAACTTATTCAAATTGTGACAAGCTTGCCTTGAAGTTAAATTTTTGACAGAGACCAACCTTTTCACGGCATTGACAAAGTGATTGATTTATTAGATTGAAATAGATTGTGTTTGCAAATTCAGATTTTTTTTTTTGCTCCAACTCATTCTGTTCTGTTTGCTTCCGTTTTGTTTCAGAGGAATAAAAATGGGCCGTCAACAATGCTAGGACTATCATGGGCAGTGTTACTTTACGGTACTTCTGCTATGGGTGTCTCTTCACGTCTGTGACCTGGACCATTCTCCTTTTCATTTATTTCAACTTGAATCTTGACGGCTATACCTTCAGCAATGTGCCCTTCCAGGGGAACCAGTGGGTGCAGTGGAAATTCCAGCCCAGATTTACACAAGGCCCTCAACAACTGCCTGGATCACAGCACCGAGGCAGTGAGGGCAATCAGATTCCAAAACTCAGGCGTGAAAACATGGTGAAGAAAACTGAGCTCTCTCCAGAACTTGGTGAGTTGCCATTTGATGGTAATAATAATAATCCTTGCATTTGATATAGCGCTTTTCACGTCTTCCAGACATCTCAAAACGCTTCACAGAACATACTGTGAAGTGAATTGACTGTATATTTGTGGGCGAAATGCAGCAGCCAATTGCGCACAGCAGTGTCCCACAAACAGTTGTGGATTGAAATGACCAATTTATTATTTTTTTGAGGGATTATTATCAGGCAAGGTTTCACCCTGCCGGGCATCAAACCTGGGTCTCTCGCTTGCAAAGCGAGCGCTCTAACCACTGAGCTACAGGACTCCATGGTATAATTGTGCAACAACAGCAACAAATTACATTTGTATAGCGTCTTTCATATCAGGAGGACGTCCCAAGGCGTTGGACAGCCAGGGATTTGGACCCGAGCTGGGGGTTGGGATCAGGAGGGGTGGAGGGCAGGGAAAGTAGGAATAGGAGGGTGACTGAAGGAGCAGTCAAAGAGGAGGGTCTTGAAATGCACCGTGAAGGAGGCAAGGGAGGGAGCGAGGCAAAGCGACGGTGGGATGGAGTTCCAAAGCGTGGGGGCAGAGAGGCTCAAGGACCGACCAGTGTACAATTCAAACTTTTTTTCCCTTTTAAATTTAGTATTTTCAGAAAATGTGGTGCAAATAACACTGGGAAATTGATTGTCCCAACACATTATTGCATAAGTATTGGTAGGTAAATGCATCTAAATTGCTCCCTCCTGCAAGGTTAATCCATTTAAAAGGGAATTTTAAAAGACTTATGCATGCACTTTGCATCTCTGAAGGTATGTAAATTATGCACTGTTTACATGCACAGGATCTTATTCAATATAGAAAGCAGCATTCATTAAGGTTGATAACTAAGACTTTTAGCAATGAACAACAACAACAGCTTGCACTTGTATAGCGCCCTCCACGTAGGGTAGCGTCTCAGAGCGCTTAACAGTGGCAGAGCCTGACTCCGAGCTGGGGGGATGGGGGAGGTGGCGGTAAGTACGGTCGAAGAGGAAAGTTTTCAGACGGAACATGAAAGAAGGGAGAGAGGGTGCCAAGGCGGATGGAATGAGGGAGAGTGTTCCAGAGTTTTGGGGTGTAGTGGCTGAAAGCACGATGATGGGGTGGATGTTGCAAGCAGGAGGCCGGTGCCAGTAGAGTGGAGACCCTGGGTGGTGGATTGGGGAGTGAGGAGGTCAGAGAGGTAGGGAGGTGCCAGGGAGTGAATGGATTTGAACACGAATGCGAGGATCTTGAATTCGATCTGTTTGGTGATGGGGAGCCAGTGGAGACTGGCCAGAACTGGTGAGATTGGGTACGGAGTTTGGTCCGGGTCAGTATGTGAGCGGCAGAGTTTTGAACGAGCTGAATCTTGTGAATGTGGAGCTGGGGAGACCGGTGAGGAGTGTGTTTGAGTAACCCAAGCAGAGGCGACAAATGCATGCACGAGGATTTCGGCTGCATTTAGGGTAAGGTACGATCGGAGGCGGGCAATGTGGTGGAGGTTAAAGAAGACGGTCCTGGTCATGGCCCGGATGTGGGAGAGGAAGGACGGTTGGGGGTCGAAATGAATGCCTAGGTTGTGCATTGGTTCGATGAGTCTGAGGCAGAGCTCAGCGAGGTTGAGGAGTTTAGATCCACAGGAGTGAAGATGTTGACGGGAGCCAAGGAGTATGGCTTCCGTCTTGTCCATATTCAGCTGCAGGAATCATTTACATTACAATAAATTTAATGATTTACAATCATTCAGGCCTTGATGTCTGCCAGACAAGCTGATAGAACATCGGTGGACCTGGAGTTGGTATTGGAGGAAGGAAAGTAGATTTGTGTGTCATCCGCATACATGTAGAAGTCTGCAGATGGCATCGCCCAGAGGGAGCATATAGATGAGGAAAAGCAGAGGGCCAAGGATGGAGCCTTGGGATACCCCGCAGGTGACCGGGCGGGGGCGGGAGGAGAAACCATTTACTAAGATGAAATGGAGGCGGTTGGTTAAGTAGCACTCGAACCATGCGAGTGCGGTCCCACTAAGGTAGAGGGAGGAGAGCCGATGGGGGAGGATGGCGTGGTCGACTGTGTCGAACGCAGCAGAGAGATCCAGGAGGACGAGGAGGCAGAGGGTGCCCTGGTCAGAGATAGAGAGAATGTCTTTTGTGACTTTAACAAGTGCTGTCTCTGTGCTGTGGCCAGGGCCAAAACCAGACTGCGGGGGCTTGAGGAGGCAGTGGAGGGAGGGTGTGACCGAAGTTGACCTGCAACAATGCGTTCCAGGACTTTGGCAAGGAATGGCAGGTTGGAGATGGGACGATAGTGTGAGAGATTAGAGGGATCGAGGGTGGGTTTTTTGAGGAGGGGTGTGATGACAGCGGTTTTCAGGGGGAGTGGAATAAATCCTGAGGAGAGAGACTGGTTGACCGTGTCGGCCAGCAGGGGGAGAGTAGGGGGAGTTGAGTGACCAGCAGCTGGGTGGGGAGGGGATCCAGGTAGCATGTGGTGAACTTCATCCGGGTGATTGTGGTCAAGAGGAAGGAGGGAGACATGGGGACAAAGGAGTGTAAGGAGTGCGGAGTGGCGGAAGAAATGATGGAGAGATTGGAAGAGGGGTGGGGGATGTGGGAGGAGAGGGAGATGAAAAAGTCGTCTGAGGTGGCCTTGTCCGTGATGAGGTAATGTGATAATTTTACAATCACATTCTGTATTCTGCAGAATATTGAGTCTTATTAATCAACCAAGCTGAATAGTTTCCTTCTGTTCTGTAATTTCTATGATTCTAGGAGGCTGAAAGAGGTAATTATTTGCAGTTCTGAAGCAAAATCACAGGAAAATAAAGAGACAAGCATTTTATTATTTGGTTGACCTGTGATACCCTATTTTGTAGCAAGGGATTTTGTTCAAATGTCATTTTTGATGTGGGTGACAAGGTGGCACAGTGTGTTAGCGAACTAATGTGTAGAATTGTAGAGCGGTGGGATACAGCTTTAGTCTCTCACTTGCTTGAGTTCCATTTTTTTGATATGTCAATATTGGGCGGCCAAATACCTTCCTGCATTAAACAATGCAGAATACCAGGAGAGATTAACCTGCCATGTGTGCTCATAACAGAATTGGTGAATAACTGGGAACGGGTCAGTGACTAACCAGAAAAATAAAATACTCCAAAAATATATTTTTTTAGTGAATTCTGTGACTTTGCACTTTGCTGTGAGTAAATCAGTACAACACAAATTTACATTTGTAAAGTGCCTTTCATGTATGGAGGACATCTCAAGGCGCTTAACAGTCTTGGCTGGGCATCTGAATAGGGGCTGCAAGCTGAAGGGGGTTGGGGAGAGGAAAGATGACTGAAATCGTGGGCAAGGACCTTGAAAGAGATGAGGGATGGAGTAGTCAGAGGGGCTCTGGGATGAAGTTCCAGAAAGTGAGGGCAAATTGGCTGAAAGCCCACCTGTCGATGCTGAGACGGGTAAGTCACACTATTTATGTGTTGATATGAATTGTTCTCTTATTCTCATTCTTATAAAATTAAACTCTTTTTTTCAGGTATGATTTTCAATGAAGTAGATCAAGAGCTTCGTGATTTGGGCTACCAGAAACATGCTTTCAACATGCTGATCAGCAATCGTTTGGGCTACCGCAGAGATCTTCCCGACACCAGAGACAAGAAGCAAGTTCTTAATTTTTTAGTTAAACACCTAAATTAAAGCTGATTACTTAATAATAATAAACCTTGCATTTGATGTAGTGCTTTATCACGTCATTGAGATGTTTCAAAGAGCTTCATAAAATATACTGTAAATTGGATTGATTGTATATTTTGTGGATGAATTGATAAGCCAATTGCACACAGCAGTGTCCCACAAACAGTCGTGGATTGAGAGACCAAATTATTATTATTTATGTTTTTTTTAAGGGATTATTATCCCCGGAAAATGATCTGCAAATAGATTAACAACGGGTTCCTACTTATTGCTAGGTAAACAGAGGCATGTAGAGTAAGGAAAATTGCCTAAGGTTTCGCCTTGTCTGCTTTCCCTTCCTCCTCCACACACATACACTCATAACTCATTGAACAAAATCATGATTTCAGCACTCCTCCATTATTGAAGTATTACGGAAAATACAAAATCCCTGATATATGGTACTCCCTTATAAGGCAGGTTTGCTTATAAAGTGCATTTTCCTCTAAGGTGTTGTCCTGTGCACTTGTGGTTAGCACCATGGTTAGTTTAGGCGTGCAGACCTACAAGCTGCCCATTTAGCAAATTGGCAGCTTGTAGGTCTGCGTGCCTAAACTAACCATGGGTGCTAACCACAAGTGCACAGGGCACCCACCTTATAGGAAGGTGCTGGTTGTCAGGTTGCAGTCAATGTCATTTTCTGCACACTGAGCATGCGTGATACCTCTGTGACCTACTAAATCCTTACCAACCTACTCACTCCCTCTGCTCGGCAGATACGGGCTTACTCCATGCCCGTCCCATGAACGGCAGTCTGGCGTTCAGCCTTTCTGCTCCTACCATCTAGGAATCCCTTCACTCCGCCCCCTCCCTTGCCTCCTTCAAGGCTGGTCTCAAGACCTTCCTCATTGACTGTATTTGATCATCCTCCCACCTTCGCTCCCCTTACTCTCTACCCCTCTTGATTACAATCCCCAGCTCAGGTTCAAACCCTTGACTGTCCAACATCTTGGGACATCTTCCCAATGTGAAAGGTCCTGTATAAGATGTGAAAGGTGCCGTATATAAATGTAGTTTGTTGTTGATGTTGTGATATATGCAGGGAGTGTTTGCGCATAAATCGCATGCAGAGCATACAGGAAGTGACATTGCTGTGGACATTTTGGCTTAATTTCTCTGCGGCTTTCCATTCTCATTATTCTGTTCTTTTATTACTAGGTGCAAACTGAAGAGGTACCCATTGAACTTACCTTCTGCAAGCATTATTATTTGTTTTTATAATGAAGCTTTATCAGCGCTGCTGCGAACAGTACATAGTGTGTTGGATCGTACTCCCGTTGACTTGCTGTATGAAATTATCCTTGTGGATGACCATAGTGATTTTGGTGAGTACCATTCTTCTTCCATGTATAGGTACACTATTTGAAAAAGGAGGGAAATTTCGCCCAGTGCCTGGCCAACAATCCTTCAGATTGTATTTTTTTTGGTTACCCAGGAGTCTTGACATGTGAGGAAACCCGTGCTTTAAAACTAACCAAACCTGACTGAGACTTCCACATATGTATGCAACCAATTATGCAACCAATTCTCCCTGTGTTTGGAATGGAATGCACACTCTCTCCCCGGAGGGACACAACAACAACAACTTGGATTTATATAGCGCCCTCCATGCCGGACGGCATCTCAGAGCGCTTTACAGTAATGGATCCCGGCGCCGAGCCAAGGGGAGGGTGGGGAAGGTGACCAAAGGTCCAGTCGAAGAGAAAGGTCTTCAGCAGAGACCTGAAAATAGGAAGGGAGCGAGCGAGGCGAAGGGAGTGAGGAAGGGAATTCCAGAGCCTAATCCTGGAGAGTATTAGGTGCACGTTGGCAAGAGCCACAGACCCCAGAGTGTGCAATGGGATACTGCTGGAGTTTAATCAGCTAAAACTGCATAGTTAGCTATTGAGAGGATTGATGTCAAGCTTCCTGCTGCTTTTCTAGTTGGACCACCCTAATTACTACCATTTACTAGGGTTTTAGCTTGCAGGGTTAACAGGATCTGAGTGGGAAGCATACCTGCTTGCTGTTTGCCCTTCCAAGTCCTACCAGGCTGGCTGGTCTGTCATCAGCAAGTCCCCAGAGCAGGGCAGACCTGTTTGTCTCAGAAACTGACTTGATTCCATCATTTGTTTGAGCATGTCACCTTGGAGCCAACTCAGTTCCTGTTCTCCTCTCCCATCTCAGGAATCAATCCAGACTCAATGGTTGTTGAACTCATGGCTTCTTAACTGACTTTCATTTGTCTGCAAAGGTAGTCAATGTTCTCAACTGTAATCACTTATGTCGTGTTTTCAGATTTTTCTACGTTTTTTATTACTTAATATTGGTTAAGAAAGAAAAGCTGACAAGCATCTTGATTGTAATATAATATAATCTATAATCTACGACTGTTTGTGGGACATTGCTGTGCGCAATTGGCTGCCGCGTTCGCCCACAAATATACAGTCAATTCACTTTACAGTGTGTTCTGTGAAGCGCTTTGGGACGTCCTCCCGACGTGAAAAGCGCTATATCAAATGCAAGGATTATTATTATTATTATTATTCCGAAACAAATGGAACTAGCTAGCTATAGCTGTTAAAAATATATCCTTATAAATAGTTGCTTCTTTTCCATTGTTTTTTTCTAAGGTGACTTAAGAGATGAGCTTGGGCAGTACATTCAGAAAAACCTATTTAACAAAGTGAAACTTGTAAGAAATTCTGTCCGAGAGGGACTAATACGTGGTCGAATGATTGGAGCATCTCACGCAACAGGTATCACATTCAGCCTATTCCTCTTTGAATATAGTTGATGTAAAGTTCTATTTAGATCAATAAAAAAAATTTGCGACAGCGTTTTTTATCCAGCCGGGTGTCTTAACATCTACGGATACCCATCACCATGCTTAATAGTATCAAACCAAACTTGCAAGCGATCTACATAAGCAAGGATATTTTGGTTTGTGTGGAACTTTCTACCCACAAAGGAACAAATATATTTTGCTGAAGAGGGTCTTATAAGTCTAATAGACATTCTCCTGATCCTCATCAAATTATGTATAGACCTTAGGCTGAGAATTATTAAGAAAATTTATCCCATTCTTGTTTGTCCCGACCTAATGAATAAAGCAAGGTTCTTTGTGTCCTCAGTTAATACCAGTGAAAGTAGCTCATTCTGCCTGCTTGCTAAAGGTTAATCTTGTGAGCTAATGTGCAATGCATGTCATCTGTTAACCTGTTATAAATGTTCAAACGGCTTAAAAGTGACCTTCCGTTATGAATCAAAGGGTCAGGTTTTACCCTGGCTATTATTATTCAGGAGAAGGGGTTTGTTGGTTGTTTGTTGGTGGACTGGGTGCAAATTGGCTGGCGTGTTTGTCTATAAAATACACAGAATGTACTTCACAGTAAAAATCCTGTGAGTGCTTTGAGACATTTTGACAACGTGATAAAGTACTACAACAAACGCAAGGATTACTTATTGTTGAACAGTTATTGCTGAGATCAATAATATATTTCTTTTCTTTTTTTTTTGCAGGGGATGTACTGGTGTTCCTCGATAGTCACTGTGAGGTGAATGAGATGTGGTTACAACCTCTTCTGGCTCCAATTAAAGAGAACCGCAAAACTGTGGTGTGTCCAGTGATTGACATCATCAGCGCTGACACATTAATCTACAGCTCTTCGCCTATTGTGAGGGGAGGGTTTAACTGGGGATTGCACTTCAAATGGGATCCTGTGCCTGCCTCAATGCTGAATGGACCAGAAGGACCAACAGCACCAATTAAGTATTAACCCTGTTATTTCAAGCTTATGTTTTGTATTCTTTTAACTTCATTGTGATTGAACCAGTTGCTATTCCTTTCAGCCTAAAATACTTAGTACCTCAGTGCGGCTATGCGGCAAGCAACTATTCGATAAATTAGGGCTCTTAAAGGTTGAGAGAAGACATTCTTGGAGTGTCTGACCTTATAGAGGTGTATAACATTTTAAGTAGATTGAAAAAGTAAACCCAGAATATTTTAGGATACACCAAGACAGTAGAACAAGAGAGATAAACCAGCAGTAAATTGGGCTCAAGAGTAGTATCAAGTATAGGCAGCTAAATAGACTTGGAGGGGATTCAATCTTGAGATAAGATGACTCAATGGGGATTTTATAGAGATGTATATTGTAAATGGGATTGTGAAAGTCAACCTACAACAATACTTTAGGATGCACTAGGTCGATAGAACAAGAGGACATAAAGTTGCAAAGGGCAATTTCAGGACAGACCCCAGGAAGTTTTCGTTTTCCAGAGGTTATTTGACAACTGGAACGGGTTGCCAGTAAAGATGATTGAGGCTACAATACTGGACTTGTTTCAAAAACAGCTTGATGCTGTGATGGGAGCAGGGTTGGTTGGGTATTCTGGAAGAATTGCATCAGATGGGCTGGAGGGCCTTCTTCATCCAAACTAATCTTGTGAGGTGGTACGTCCCTCGATTTTAGGCAGTGCGTGTCACGTTGAGATGAACAATGACTGTTCCTTTTTCTCTCCTCTACCTGTTCTGCTTGTTGTAAATGGGCTATAAGCTTGTAGAACAGTAAACAAATTTGATATTGTGTCAGATTTTACAGGATTCACATTTTGTAAAAAATAACATTACGAGGCATTTTTTAAAAGTAAGATTACGAGGTATTTTTTAAAATTGTGCCCTGACCTCTGCAACAATGCTCGTTGGTTTAGAATGTATGTGTTGGGAGGAGAGAGTTGAGGAAACAGTGGGTTGGAACAAATTTTATTCTAGTATCAAGAAACCTCTTTCCTCCTCCCCACCTCCAACTGTTGGAACCATCACTCAATGGGAAGGAATGTATGTCCGAGCTTCAGACAGGAAGATGGTGGTAATGATCTCACACATTTCATGCTGAGCTGTATTGCCCACTGGGAAGCTCGCAGGATGTTCCTGTTACCTATCATCCACCTAGTGAGGGCTGAAACCGGCCCTTGTTGGATGTCAAATGACCAACTGCTCACTATTCCCGACGTGAAAGGCGCTATACAAATGTAATCTTGTTGTTGTTGGGACAGAGGTAAGCAGGATCTCCTTGGAACTGAACTGGCTCCAAGGTGACAAGTTTGGCAACGGAATGCCGTAATCGAGTCAACCCTCTGTGGCAGTCTCAGCAGTATGTTCCTGGCTCATCAGCAGGACTTGGAAGGACAGACCAGACAATGGGTGGGGGTGGGGGGGGGGGGGCAGGACTATTCCCATTCAGCTCCTGTTAACCCTCCAAGCCAAAGCCATACAAGCAGCGGAAAATTTGCCAGACAGTGCTCTCAATGGCAAGCTATATGGTTTTAGCTGGTTAAACTCCAGCAGTACCCCAACGTACACTCTGGGTTTCCCAAGCCTTAGCTCTTGCCAACCTGCACTGAATACTTTCCATATTAGATAAGCAGGATACGTTCCTCCAGGGAGAGAGTGTGCATTCCATTCCAATAAATATCTCTGGAATTTCCACGTGTAGGTGGAATGCATGGAATTCTCAGTTTGGTTTGGATACTGTTAAACATGGTGATGGATAAGAAGAACCCCACCCCCCGGCTGTTGGTCAAACAAGCACCTCACATTCTAAAATTGTTTGCTTTTGTCTTCTAGGCCTTAGTGCTAGACCTCTTTCACAAATTTCTTGCTTTTTTTTTACAAAGATTATATTGTGACATGAAGAATTGCCAGCAGGAGTCTCATAATTCTGACAGTTCTATCCGACCAGCTCAGTTTAATGTGAAGTTTAGTGTGTGGTGAAGCTGTTTGATCCCTGCTCCATGTGAGAGAGGTGAACTTAGTGAGGATACTGTTGTTTTCATATATTGGCATTGGTCGCTAATGAAGTTTATGTAACTGAGGGTTTGAAATCCTGCTTACTGTCCATCGAGGTGCTTGTGCATGCTGTGTGAATATTGGGTGAGGATGAGTCTCTTGGCATGGCTGTGATGATTCCAAGTCCAGCCTTACACATGAAGTGTGATACAGCAGTTCCACTATCACCTATCGCATAACTCCCCAGCTTGCATCTGCAGTGCGACTCCAACTCTCAAAGAGGAATCCCAGGAGTGAAAATTAGAAGGAAATGGGAGACCGAAAAGTAATAAAACTACTCCTAAGCCTAAAGCAGCCTCAGCCTAAAATTGAAGGAAAAAAAGGAAACAAATTTGATAGCAGTTTCTAACCCAGCATCTACAGCAACAAAACACGCATTCAATGATAATTCAGAAAACTGGCAATGGTAATTGAATGTGTTTAGCAAAACTAGATGTTGTGTTAGAAATTGCTGTCAAAATGTTTCCTTTTTTTTACTTCAATGTTTCACCTCCAGTTTCTATGTACTCCTGAAGACATTTAAATTCTCTTTCCCCCCCCAGCCCCCCGAGATGCATCCAAGTACCCATTATTGCTGTGGTGAACCACGGAGGTGAATGTCAGTAAGGGACATGGTAGCCAAGCCCAATCCTGACATCCATTCAGGCACGCTTTCAAGCTACTGTACATCGTGAGCAGAAGTGGAAATCTTAGCTGATTTTTTTCTTCCCTAATAAAGAGCTCTGAGACCCAGTTTTTCCGCTGACTGTGATCAGCTAACTCAATATAGGAATCAAACTTGCAATTCCTTGCATTTGATCTGTTTGACTTAGAGTTTCACCAGTCTTTACATTTTAGATCATCGAGGAAGATTTTATCCTACAGTGATTTTGCTAGGAATGATTTAGCATAAATGACTAGCCTTATGACACAAGTATAATTTCTCAAGGAATTCTCAGTGTTTGGGAGTACAATCTCTCAACTCTCTCTCACACAATGAACTGCTTGAGTGGTCCCTCACAACTCTGCAGAATGTAACAGACACTCGGGGCTACGCTCTGAAACAACAGAAAATGAATTTGAAGTATTAGTTTGGAATTACAGTACTAAACTAACAGCGGGGTTAGGGGTAGAATTTGATTCTGTCCTCCAACACCCCCCTCCCACCGCACTGATCTTGAGCTGCTTTGATATCTAAGCGCTTTGCAATGAGTTAGCATAGTTCTCAATTGAGGTGAGGAAATATAGCCCTAACGTAGTAAAAAAAAATCCATTGGTTCCATCAGAACATGAGTGGATAGATATTGCCTTGGAAACTGAAAACAGTCATTTTGCTTAGGTCTACAATTGATGTACTGTTACTCTTCATTGTTTCATTGGTTGAAATTGTATTAAAGAATGTTCTTTCTGTCTTCTCTTGTTCAGATCACCCACAATGGCGGGGGGACTATTTGCAATGGACAGGAAGTACTTCAATGAACTTGGGCAGTATGACAGTGGCATGGATATTTGGGGAGGAGAAAACCTGGAAATATCCTTTAGGGTAATGTCTTTTTAGCTTCCCATTTCCAAATATCGGGTCTTATTGAGATGAGGGAGGGAGAGAGAGAAAATATTTCAGCTTCCTGGATAGTGTCAATAATGACCATTGTTGGTTAATAATAGTGTAATGCTCTTTGCATTGATAACACCCTTTATAGCAGTCTGCATATTTATTTTAAGTGTATTTAAAAATGTGCAGTTTTGGATTGATTACATACTGGAATATTGGAGAGGTTTAGCATTAGCCAAACAGAGTGACAGATGATAGAATGGTGTAGGGGTGAGAGGGGGGTATGTGGTCACCAGTTCCCAGTGGATCTGGACACAGAGTGCAAACCTGCCCATAAAATGGCACAAATGGGAGCCACTTCCTATAAGTGTTGTGGTTGTGGGAAATAAAGAAGAAAAAGGATTGTGTTGGTGTAGAAGAAGTTTTCATGGTTAACAATTTTAAAAAAATACTGTGAAAAAACAGAAATTGAACAATCCTTGCATTTGATATAACGCCTTATAACGCTATGGAGTCCTGTAGCTTAGTGGTTAGAGCACTCGCCTCGCAGGCGAGAGAACCTGGGTTCAATTCCCGAGCAGGGCGAAACGTTGGGCAAGTTTCCTTACTCCACATGCCTCTTACCTAGCAGTAAGTAGGAAACCAGTTGTTAGTTGATTGGCGGATCTCTTTTCCCATGGGTAATAATCCCTTCAAAATAATAATAATAATTTTATCACTTAATCCACACCTGTTTGTGGGACATTGCTGTGCTGCCGCGTTCGCCCACAAATATACAGGCAATTCACTTTACAGTGTGTTCTGTGAAGCGCTTTGGGACGTCCTCCCGACGTGAAAAGCGCTATATCAAATGCAAGGATTATTATTATTTACAATGTATTCTGTGAAGCGCTTTGGGATGCCTGGAAGACGTGATAAGATGCTATATAAAATGCAAGGATTATTATTTTTATAACGTCGTTGAAATGTCTCAAAGCGTTTCACAGGATATACTGTAAAGTGAATTGACTGTGTATTTTGTGAGCTAAACATGGCAGCGTGTTGCGCACAGCAGTGTCCCACAAACAATCGTAGATTGAGTGACCAAAAAGCATTGTTCAGAATTCAAGGTTACAATACTTGTGTTCTTTCCTATTCTTATTTAATACACATATGAGAAGATTTCTTTCTGTACATTCCAATTGTTTTGCTGAACAAATATCTAATGCAATGAGCCCTTTCCTAAATTTTGACAACTAGCATCAACAGTTAGGCTCAGTTGTGACCTGTATTGGACATTAGTGTGATATTTCCATTTCTGCACTAGCCAACCTTATGAAGTCAAGGATTGGCACCCGAGCTGTGGTTGGGATCTGCAAAGGTGGAAGGTAGGGGTAGGAAAGTGACTGAAGGCACGGTCGAAGAGGAGGGTCTTGAGATGGATCTTGAAGGAAGCAAGGGGGGTATCGAGGCAGAAGGACTGTGGTGGGATGGAGTTCCAGAGGTTGGGGGCAGAGTGGCTGAAGGCCCGCCTACCAATGGTAGGGCGGGCAAGGTAGAGGACGTGAAGCAGGCCGGAGCCCGCTGAACTGAGGGAGTGAATAGGTTGATAAGGGGTTAGGAGGTCACAGAGGTAGGAAGGGGCAAGGCCGTGGAGGGTCTTGAAGGTGAGGATGAGGATTTTAAACTCTATCCTCTGAGGGGTGGGAAGCCAGTGGAGCCGAGTGGGGGTGGGGGAGATGGGGTCATGGATCCTGGAGCAGGAGAGGACATGAGCTGCAGAGTTCTGGATGATCTGCAGCTTGTGGAGGGAAGATTTGGGAAGTCCGACAAGCAGGGAGTTGGCATAGTCGAGCCTGGATGTGATGCATGGATGAGGGTCTCAGTGGCCTGCGGTGACACACAGTGGCGGAGCTGGGCGATGTTGCCGAGGTGGGGAAATACAGAGCAGGTCATGGCACGGATGTGGGGGGCTGAAGGACAATTGAGGGTTGAACAGGACGTCCAGATTCTGTATTGGCTCCGTGAGGTGTAGAGTGCATCCAAGAAGGGTGATGCTATCAGCACCTGAGAAGGGACTCGGTCTTGTTGACATTCAACTGGAGAACATTTGCTCTCATCCAGGACTTGATGTCTGACAGGCAGTCTGAGGGTGGAGGCAGGGAGGAAGATTTGAGTATCATCCGCTTCCATGTGGAAGTTGCCTCCATGTCTACAGATGATTCAGCAGATTCAAGAGGGGTTTGGATAATTATTTGGATTTCCTCCTCACCCACCGTGTTTAACATCCTCACCTGCGGTCATCTTTCCTTTCCCCAACCCCTCGGCTCCCACTCCCCCTCACTTGTTCAGCCAGCAGTGTCAAGCAACTTTGGGATGTGCTCCTGACGTGAAAGGCAATGTATAAATGTATACTTATATTGTATTTTAGTAAAGTATTCAACTTGTTGATATGAGAAATAGGATAGTGTAGGATGATTTTTTTATAACATTTTTTTTCTTTGCGTCAGATTAACCCACCCTCTATTAAGAATTTTTAATTACGTAAATGTTAAGTTATGCGACTTGTGAATATGTATATTTCATTAAAATACATTTTACAGTCCATGTTAAATGTTTGAGTTCATGTCTCCTTGGCAGGATCTCCTTGAAGCGGAACTGATTTCAAGGTGACATGCCTGGCAACACAATATTAGGATCGAGCCAGCCTTCTGTGACAATCTCGGTAATCCTGTTCCTGAGGCAGGCGGGTCCGCAGTATTCCAGGGCACTGCTGATGACATCACAGCCCAGCCTGGCTCATTGGCAGGACCTGGAAGGGCCGACTAGTCACTGGGGCAGGGATTCTTCCCACTCAGCTCCTGTTAACCCTGCAAGCCTTTTCCATACATGCTTAATTTTAGAAGTATCCAAACCAAACAGAGTTCCATGCATCTCACTTGCATATGGAAGTTCCCGAGATGTTTATTGGAATGGAATGTGCACTCTCCCACTGTGCTTACTTAATCCTGCTTACTTAATTCCAGAAAGTGTAAGACGTAGGTTGACAAGATCCAAGGTTTGGGGACCCCATAGTGTGCGTTGGAGTACTAGGTAGGGTAGTCCTAGCTGGATAAACAGTGGAAAAGCTTGCCATGCAGTGCTCTCAACGGCAAGCTTTTCCACTGTGGTTTTAGTTGGTTAGACTCCAGCAGCACTCCCAACACACACTCTGAGGACCTCAAGCCTTGAATCTTGCCAACCTGTGCTTATGCTATCTGGAAAGTGACTCTATTTTGTAGGTGGATGGTGAAGTCTATAGCATAACAGTTAAATGATCCAACCCCTCAACCACCAAACTAACCTCAACCCTACCTCCCGCTACCTCCCTCTACTATCAAAGACATTACTACTTTTTAGAAAATGAAATTTAAGATTGAGGTCAGATGTTACCTTTGATTCCTACAATGAACACATTGAAAATAACCTTGACTTGTGTGTATGTTGTTGATGTAGATCTGGATGTGTGGTGGGCGGCTGGAAATAATTCCTTGTTCTCGGGTTGGACATATATTTCGTAAGCGGCGGCCATACGGCTCCCCTGGAGGGCAGGATACAATGGCACACAATTCTCTACGCCTGGCACACGTTTGGATGGATGAGTATAAGGTATTATTCTTGATTTGGTACTTACTATACAGTGTAGAATAGCCCATACTAAATATCAGACTAAATGTCATTCACAGCAGTAGTATTGAACATAGCAATATGAGTAGACTGTTCATCATATTGAGTCTGTTCTGCCAATGTATTAGATCATGATGGGTCTTTTAATCCCATTTCTCTTGAACCTTAAATATTCTCACTTCCCAAATATCTCTCCACCTCTTTTTATTGATTTTTGGCTCTAGGGCTTTCTAATATCAAAATGATACTTTAATGTCCAAATCATGGCCCTTGTCTCCATCCTGGAGTAGCTTGAACTTGCTTCTTCACATTTTCAATGCTTGACTCAAGGCCATGCTTTGATCATCTTTCCCCCTTCCTCCGTCCCTCTCTCACAACTCTTCTTCCCCCTTCCCCAGCCTCTAGCCTGGGTGCCCCGCAACTGTGCAAAGCACTTTGAGATGTCCTCCAAACATGAAAGGCACTATATAAATGCAAATCTACTACCTGTCCTTCCAGTCGGAAGACCCACTTCTTCCTGGCACAAGCTGCAGACTATCCAGAACTCCTGTTGGCTTGTGTCCTTTCCCACACGAGGCTTTGCAAGCCTATCACCCCCATCCTCGCCTGCTCCACTGGCTCCCCATCGCCCATTGGATTGAGTTCAAGTTCCTCATCCTGACCTTTAATTCCCTCCATGGTCTTAACCTTCCCCACCACTGTGACCTCCTCAAATCCTATCACTCCCTCGCTCCGCTCAGCAGACATGGTGATCGGACTTTCAGAGTATCTGTGTACTCCATTCCCAGAGTCCCTTTGACTTGTCCCTTCCCTCACCTCCTTCATGAGTCTTTCTTTTTGAACGCGCTTTTGGACATCTTTTCCCCCCCACCCCAACTTCCAAACCCAACTTAGATGCATAGCTTGGATTGTCCTGCGCCTTGGGACATGCTCCTGAGGTGAAAGGCACTATATAAAGTAAATTGTATTGTAATGTGACATACCTTTGTGGAGTCCTGTAGCTCAGTGGTTAGAGCACTCGCCTCTCAAGCGAGAGACCTGGGTTCAATTCCCGGCAGGGTGAAACCTTGGGCAAGTTTCCTTACTCCACACGCCTGATAATAATCCCTCAAGAAAAAAAACAATAATAAATAGATCGCTTCAATCCACGACTGTTCATGGGAATTGGCTGCCGCGTTTCGCCCCCAAATATACAGTCAATTCACTTTATGCAATTCACTCGATGTAATGAAAGCATGTAATGAAATACATACTTTCATTATATCGAGGCTCGACTATGCAAACTCATTGTTTGTCGGCCTCCCCAACTCCTCCCTCCACAGGCTACAGATCATCCAGAACTCGGCAACCCATGTCCTCTCCCGCACTAGGCTCCACGACCCTATCACCCCCATCCTTGCCCAACTCCACTGGCTTCCCATCACACAGAGGATACAGTTCAAGATCCTGGTCCTCACTTTCAAAGCCCTCCACAGTCTTACTCCCCCCTACCACTGCGACCTCCTAACACCCTACCATCCTTCTCATTCCCTCTGCTCAGCTGGCTCCGGCCTGCTTCACGTCCCCCGCTCGATCACCCCACGATTGGTGGGCGGACCTTCCGTAATTCTGCCCCTACCCTCTGGAACTCCATCCCACATTCCCTCCGACTCGCCACCTTCAAGACCCATCTCAAGACCTTCCTCTTTGACCGTGCTTTCGATTTCCCTGCTTCTCTCCTGCACTCCATTCTCCCCGACTCCCAGCTCGGGTCCATGACTCTGTTTGTCCAGCGCCTTGGGACATCCTTCCGATATGAAAGTTGCTTTACAAATGTAATTTTGTTGTTGTTGTTGTATTCTGTGAAGCGCTTTGAGACATCTGGAAGACGTGAAAAGTGCTATATCAAATGCAAGGATTCTTGTAGCTCAGTGGTCAGAGCCCTCGCCTTGCTAAGCGAGAGACCTGGGTTTGATTCCCGGCAGGGTGAAACCTTGGGCAAGTTTCCTTACTCCACATGCCTGATAATAATCCCTCAAGAAAAAAAACAATAATAAAAATTGGTCATTTCAGTCCACGACTGTTTGAGGGACACTGCTGTGCGCAATTGGCTGCTGCGTTTCGCCCTCAAGTATGTAGTCAATTCACTTTACGGACTATTCTGTGAAGCGCTTTGAGACATCTAGAAGACATGAAAAGCGCTATATCAAATGCAAGGATTATTATTATTAAATATTATATTATCATTGAGTGTAATAATTCAGAATGAGTTAAATACTGTATAATGAGCTACACTGAGCTATTGATTAAATTAGAATGAAAATGAAAAATCCAGTGTTAAAGTATACAATGTTAAACTCTTGCTCTTTCATTTTGACTGTAGAATGTTTTTTGTAAATTCCAGGAACAATATTTTGGCCTAAAACCTGAACTAAGACTTCGAAGTTATGGTGACATTAATGAGCGTATACTACTGAGAAAAAGGCTGAACTGTAAATCCTTCAAGTGGTATCTAGCGAATGTCTACCCGGAGATGCAGGTTATTGGACCAAATGACAGAGCCAAAGTGCAGCAGCCAATGTTTGTTAACAAAGGTCTGAAAAGACCAAAAGTAATGCAACGTGGAAGGGTAAGATTCAGCAAAGAACAGTCAAACCTCCTGTAGCTTAGTGGTTAGAGCACTCGCCTTGCAAGCGAGAGGACCTGGGTTTGATTCCCGGCAGGACGAAACATTGGGCAAGTTTTCTTATTCCACATGCCTATATTCGCCTAACAGTAAGTAGGAACCCGTTTGTTAGTCAATTGGTGGATCACATTTCCTGGGGTAATAATCCCTTAAAAAAAACGAATAAATAATAATAATTTAGTCACTGTTTGTGGGACACTGCTGTGCACAGTTGGCTGCCGCATTTCGCCCATAAAATATACAGTCAATTCACTTTGCAGTATATTCTGTGAGACGCTTTGAGATGTCCCGAAGACGTGATATGGCGCTATATCAAAACAAGGATTATTATTATTATTGAGAGTCATGGATGCAGATTTGTGCATGTAAACCCCAACTCCACCCATATTGTTGGTGTTTCCTTTAACGTCTTTTCTTTTAAAATACCTGTTCTTTATATCCGTTCGAGCTTCATGCCAGACACTGCCTATTGGGGAGCGTGCAGTTGAGATACTGAGAGATCTTTCACAATGTTGCATTGTATGGATGTCTGTGATAGTAGCTTTGATTCACCCTCTGACATCTAATGGGATTAGATAGATAAATGGAATCATAGTAGATAACTCTGGCAGCACAGAGACGATGGGCTGAGAAACTGCCATACCTCTGATGCCTCTCCAGGCATCTTGGCTGAGATCCCAAACTCCCTGAATGCACAAATCTGCTTCCTACCATTGCCAAAGCATAGATCAAGTGTTGCATTGTTCCAGCCTCATTCTGCGTTCTTAAAATCTGATATAACAGTTAGACATTTATTATTCATTTAATAGCAATTTTTTTTCCCCCTAATTTTCTTTGTTGCAAATCAATTTAACTGAAGCAGGAATTAATCATCTGCAATAATAGTCTATTAATTTAAAACCCTGGAGAAATAAAACTGTCATACTATTATTCAGAGAGGTAAGTAACCTTTAGCTTAATTAAAATATTGGTTCCCGTTATATTCTCTAAGAAATCTTGTTCTTATTCCTTTACTTAAACACGTATAAATACTGAGGCTCTTAGGCTGTACCATCCAGCTGTGATTTTTTTTGTTCACCCACAAAAGCCAGCTGTAGTAGCTGCATAGATTTGGAGTCCTTTGTATATTGGTTAGAGCACTTGCCTCGCAAGTTTCCTTACTCATCTCTGTTTACCAAGCAGTAAGTAGGAACCCAGTTGCTAGTCAATTGGCTGATTACTTTTCCGGGGGTAATAATCATTTTTAAAAAAAAATACTTTGGCCACACAATCCACGACTGTTTGTTTGACACTGCCGTGGCAATTGGCTGCTGCGTTTAGCCCACAGAAGTCAATTCACTTTATGGTATATTCTGTGAAGCGCTCTGAGACGTCTCAAAGACGTGATAAGGTGCTGTATCAAATGCGAGGAATATTATTATTGTCATTGTGGGGAAGGAGGAAGAAGTGGGAAGCAGGAAGACTGACAGCAACTTGCTTTCATAGTGCCTTTCATGTAAAATAAACTTCTCAGAGCACTTCACACAATGTTAAGAATTTGAATGTGCTGTCATGAAGACAAATGTGACAACGTCCTATAAATAGCTGTGGATCGAATAGCCAGTGTTTCGGGTGGATTCAAATAAGGAAACCTCCACTCCACTATTTAAACCAGGAGTGGGTCCATTCCCATCCTCCTGAATTACAAGGCAGATGAGATCTATATTAATAACTTGATTGAAATAGGGAAGATGATCTGGAAAAAATAAAAATATACTACAATACAATTTACATCTATGTAAATTATGTAGTACCTTTCACGTCAGGAAAATGTCTCAAAGCACTTCACACCTGTGGCTATGCACCCGAGCTGGGGGGCATCAATGCCAAAGAGGATGAGGAGCGGAATGGTGTCCGAAAGCATGGTCAGAGAGATATGTAATACAGTAGGCTTTGAAGGTATAAATAATAGAGAAGTCATCTAATGTACGTAATACTAATTACTTCAGATTCAAATAGTCCTGTAAAGAATCCTTCAGATTGAAGAAATCTGAACTTTTTACTGTTATAAATACCGCGTTTTGGGGGAAATAAGGGAAGAAATGTTTACCTTTAAAGCAAAGCAACAACAAATTTACATTTATATTGCGCCTTTCATGTCGGGAGGTTGTCCCATGGTGCTTGACAGTCCTGGCTTGACACCCACGCTGAGGGTGGGAGGCGAGGGGGTGAGCAGAGGAAAGATGACTGAAGGTGCGGTCAAAGAGGAAGATTTTGAAACACCTCAAAATATTTAAGTGAGAAATGTGGCTTCCAAAGAGCTTGGAATTGTTAAAGAGAGACCTTTACTGAACCTTTTCACCTTAAACACAAAGAATTTTAAGATTTTTGGAAATGGAAAAAAAATCTGTAATGTTTCTCAGATGAGATGAAAAACATTGAGAGCAATGAGACCCAACTGTTGTTGAACTGTTAAGATTTGGACATGATATGCTTGAGCATATTAAGTAGGCTCTAGTCTGATTAGTAATTTCATTTCTTTGCAAGTACACTTCATTGTTGAGGATGCCAGTGCAGGGAACTGATTATATTCCTTTTAATGACTGTCTCACAGCATGTGACCTTGCTCCATTGCAGCGCAGGATTTCCTAAAAGCTTGTCCTCAAAAAGATTGCTCCTGCATTGTTGAATTCCTGTGTGCATTCCCCGTTTGTGGAGTCCTGTAGCGTAGTGATTAGCACGCTCATCTCGCAACTGAGAGGACCCAGATTCGATTCCAGGTTGGGGCGAAACTTTACACAAGTTTCCTTACTCCACGTGCCTGTGTTTACCTAGCAGTAAGTAGGAACCCAGTTGTTAGTCAATTTGTGGATTACTTTCCAGGGGAATTATCCCTCAAAAAATGAATAGTTTGGTCACTCATTCCACGACTGTTTGTGGGACACTGCTGGGTGCAATTGTCTGGTATGTTTTTCCCACAAAATATACAGTCAATCCTCTTTACAATATATTCTATGAAGCGCTTTAAGACGTCTCAATGACGTAATAAGGCTTGTATTATAATATAATAATCCTAATATAATAATAATCCTTGCATTTGCTATATCAAATACAAGGATTATTATTATCATAATACAGACTACAACAACAACTTGCACCTTTCATTCAGGGCAGCATCTTGGAGTGCTTAAAAGTGATGAAGTTTGCTGCTGAGCTGGTGAGAGGTGATTGTAGGCATGTTGTAGAGGAAGGTTTCAGTCACGATCTGAGGACAAGCAAAACATGTCTATTTGTGTGGTGCCTAAAAGTGAGATGGTCAAAGTAGACTATAAGAAAGTACTGTATATCACATAGAAGCAACAGAACAATATCTTTGGTGGATGCTAAAGGGTGAAGAATTCCCAGAATGTTATCGAATCACTTAGGGAGATCCTTTGAATATCTAAGAGTTGATATCAATTTAGTGGCTTCGAACCTGCCTTGCCCCACCTCCATAACACTCGGCCACTGCCTCTTCCTTCAGGTCGCCGAGACCCTCATCCATGCATTCATTACATCTAGGCTCAACTGCGCCAACTGCCTGCTTGTCGGATTTCCCAACTCTCCCCTCCACAAGCTGCAGATATTTCAGAACGCTGCAGTTTGTATCTTCTCCCCACCAACCTCCGTGACCCTATCACCCTTGCGCGGCTCCACTAGCTCCCCATCCCCAGGAGGATAGAGTTCAAAATCCTCGTCTTCGCCTTTAAGGCCCGCCACGGCCTTGCCCCTTCCTACCTCTGTGACCTGCTAACCCCAAATCAACCTGGCTCCCGTAAACGCCTTCTATCCTGTGGCTCTGATCTTCTCAACCTCCCCGGCCTATCCCTCAGACTTACTGAACCAGTGCACAACCTCGGCGTCAGGTTCGACTCACAGCTGTCCTTCTTCCTCCACCTCCACCACATTACCCACCTCCGACCATACCTTAGCCTGGATGCAGACTAGGTTCCGCACAGCGGACGCAGCCGAAACACTCGTCCATGCATTCGTTACCTCCCAACTGAACTTCTCAAATGCCCTCTTTCCCAGTCTCCCCAGCTCCGCCATGCACAGGATCCAACTGATCGAAAACTCCACCGCCAACATACTCATCTGTACGAAACTCCGTACCCCCATCACACCAGTTCTAGCCAAGCTCTATTGGCTGCCCATTCCCGAACGGGTCGATTTCAAGATCCTCACACTCGTTTTCAAATCCCTTCATGCCCTGGCACCTCTCTACCTCTCCAACCTGTTATCCCCCCAACCCACAACCTGCTGCCTCCACTTGACTAGCTCCAGCCTTCGGCGTATCCCTCGTGCCCTCTGTTCCACCATTGGTGGCCGCGCTTTCAACCACTGCACCCCGAAATTCTGGAATACTCTTTCTCTATCCTTTCGCCTTGCCGCTACCTTCCCCATTTTCAGGTCGCGCCTGAACACCTTCCTATTCGATCGTGCCTACGGTCACCTCCCACTCCTCCACTGTCAAGCACTCTGGGACTACCCTGAGTGAGGGCGGTATATAAATGCAAGTTGTTGTTGTAGTTCGTCTACCCACAAGACTTTGGAATTTGATACCTTGACCAAAATTACCTGGCTTTTGTAATAATACAATACACATTTATTTAGCCTCTTTCACGTCTGGAGGACCTCTCAAAGCACTTGTAATTGCTGGTGGGGGGGGCGTGGAGAGGGGAAAGTTGACCGAAAACACGGTCAAAGAGGTATGTTTTGAGATGAGCCTTGAAAAAGAGGTGATAACAGGTAATAGGATAACAGATAACAGGCACTGGCAGCATCAACATCCAGGGTTACGCACCACACCTGACTGAGCGAGTCGGGAATCTTGGCGTCTTGTTTGACCCTCAATTGTCCTTTCTATCCCACATCCATGCCATGACCTGCTCTGCCTTTCTCCACCTCTGCAACATCGCTCCACCACTGCCTCACCCCTCAGGCCGTCGAAACCCTCATTCACGCGTTCATCACATCCAGGCTCGACTATGCTAACTCCCTGCTTGTCGGCCTTCCCAACTCTTCCCTCCACAAGCTGCAGATCATCCAGAACTCTGAAGCTCATGGTCTCTCCCAAACCAGACTCCGTAACCCCATTACCCCAACCCTCACCCGACTCCACTGGCTCCTCATCCCTCCGAGGATAGAGTTAAAAATCCTCATCCTCAAATGCTCTTCGCTGCCTTGCCCTTTCCTATCTTTGCAACCTGCTAACCCCTTATCAACCTGTCTACTACCTCCGCTCCGCAGGCCTGCTGCATGTCCCATGCCCGGCCCGCTCCATGATAGGCAGTCGAGCCTTCAGCCTCTCCACTCCCACCCTTTGGAACTCCATCTCACATTCCCTTTACCTCGTTCCCTTCCTTGCCTCCTTCAAGGCACGTTTCAAGATCCTCCTCTTCAACCATGCCTTTGGCCACCTTCCTACCCTCCCTACCTTCCACTCTCCGTTACACCAACCCCATCGCTCCTGCTCAGGTCCAAATCCCTGATTATCCAGCACCTTGGGAAATCCTCCTGACATGAAAGGTGCAATACAAATGTAATTTTTCCTACCATCCTCAAAATAAATAGATTTCTGTAGAAAACTCATGCTTTCTTGAAGTGCCATTGAACCTCGTTTATGACCCACAGCAAGGTCACATATTAGCCTTTGATTTTATGTTTCAGGGCCAGGAGTATAATCTTAGACTATGAGCTCAATATCCCAACCAGTAGTTATACTGGAATTTCTGGAACAACTAATCTCTCTGTCCTTGCCTTTGGGCAGCATCCTAAAACTCCCTCTTCTTCCCATCCTGCTATTTGATCCCTTTGTATCGTGAAGTGCCTTAAAATATGAGTGGAATGTGACAGTCACTATATAAGTGCAAGATGTTGTCTTAATTTGCTGGCCCATCTATGCTCTTGTGGGTGTCTTGTCCTAGTTTCTCCAATTTTGGATTTGAATCAAATTATGTTTTTTGACTGTCCAAAAAAAAGGACTGAGAGTTTGAGCAGGGTTAGGGAATTGTATTGTAATGAATTGTAATAATAATAATGATCCTTGCATTTGATATAACGCCTTATCACATCGTTGAGACGTATCAAAGCGCTTCACTGCATGTATTGTTTATTGAATTAACTATATTTTGTGGGCAAATCTCAGCAGCTAATTGCACCAACATTCGTGAATTGGGTGATCTTTTGTTTTTGAGGGATTATTACCCCCGCAAAGTGATCCGCCAATTGACTAACAACTGGGGTACTGCTAGGTAAACAGGTGTGTGGAGGAAGGAAACTCACCAAAGGTTTCGCCCTGCCCAGGGATCAAACCCGGGTCCTCTCGGTTGTGAGGCGAGTGCACTGACCACTAAGCTACGTAACTCCATTGTGGGCAAATGTTCTGAATTTTCTGTGTCATGTGGTATTGGAAATTATATTAATTGAGGTATTAATCATGATTTCCCATCTCTACAGCTACGCCATCTACAGACAGGTAAATGTCTCGCTGCCCAGAACCATCCGAGCCAGAAAGCAGGAATAGTGGTGGTGAGACAATGTGACTACTCGGACTCAGATCAGGTGAGCCTCTTGTTCTGAAAAATTTACCCAATCCTCTTAGGTCACTGTATTTTCTTTGTGATGAAGCTGAGGTAAAATTTGCTGCACGAGCACTTAAAACCCCTGACACCTGATACGTCAGTGTAATTTTCTAGACTGACATTCCAGTGCAGTGATGGGGGAGCGCTGCATTGTCGGAAGTGCCACCCTTTGGAAGAGGTGTTTAAATTGAGGTCCTAACTGCCTGTTCAGGTGGACTTTAAAGAATCCTTGGCACCATTTGAAAAGAAAAAGGAGTTTCTCTTGGTTGTCCTGGCCAAAAATCTCCCAAATAAAATTGTTCATTCATTTCATGGTTGTTTGAGGAACATTGCTGCCACATTCACCTACAAAATACAGTCATTAGACCACAGTAAATCCTGTGAATTGCTCCTGATAGGAGATGCATTATATAAAAAAAAAGAATTATACGATTATTTTGTTTCAGCAAATAAAAATCTTCATTTTTAGAAAACACAATTTTTCTCATTTGCAATGCATTAATAAGCTCCCCGGTATCACAGACCTGACAAATTAATTCAGCAGTCTCGGCTTCAGCAGCTAAGTCGGATATGTAGAATAGTTACTTGAAAGTTCAGTGGAGCCTCACCCTGAGCCAGGGGAGTCACCTTAGGCATCGTCAAAGGGCTTCAGGTGTGATCTGAAAATGGGGAATGAGGAGGTAAGCTGGAGGGATTGAGGGACAGAGTTTTGTGGCTTAGTGGCTGAAAGCAGGGCTGCCAATGGTGGAACAGAGAGGACGAGGGATAAGCAGAAGGCAATATCCATATCTAGACAACCTTAAGGTGGCTGGCACATCACAGGCTGTCCTGTAAAGCTCCTCTCACTACTCTTGTCAGCAGATATCTGTTATTCAGCTGATGAGAAAACTCTTGAGGCTTGGGACGACAGCTACTTGTGCGCATTACCTGCATTCCAGAATCATGAACACACACACACACACACACATTCATATATCCAGAGCTTCAAATCCAACTTGCTTGGCGTGCAGAAAGGTAAGCAACTGATGCTCAAGCTCTACACCTCTAATTGGTGGAACCATCACTCAATGGGAAAGGACGTGATCCCGAGCTGCAGATAGGAAGATGTTGGCAATGCTCCACGCATTTCAAGCTGAGCTGTGTTGCCTATGGGAAGTTCGCAAGGAGTCCTAGCACCTGAGTCAGTCTAGTGAGGGCTCATACCGGCACATGTCGCATGCCAAATGCCCAACTAGTGACTAATCAACACTCTGTGGGGGTCTGGATAGTGCGGGCACTGCTAATAACAGACCAGCCAGCCTGGCTCATCAGTAGGACGTAAAATGGGGGCATGAATTCTTCCCACTCATCCTGTTAATCCTGCTAGTGAAAACCCAACAGGTAGATTGGTCAGCAATTTGGTTTTAGCAATTCCAGCAGTATACCCTAACACAAACTCTGGGGTCCTCAAGCCTTAGCTCTCGCCAACCTGCACCTAACATTCTCCACAATTTGGTAAGCAGAATGCGTGCCTTGAGGGAGAGAGAGTGAGTATTCAATCCTAGACAGTTTCACTGGGAACAGGGATTCTTACTCAGATTCCCATGTGTAGGTGGCATGGCTGGAATTCTCAGTCTGGTGTCGATTTCTTAAGCCTGGTGATGGATTTCCGCAAGTGCCAGATCAAAACAAAAATTTGTTTCATAATTAAGTAGCCAGAAAGACTGAAGGTTATAGGGATAAGTAGGGGTCTGTATGGACAAGTACTGAACAGAGCACCATTGTTTCAGTCCTTTTCTGAAAGGAAAATTGTCACCTGAAGAATGGTTCGGGTTCAATAATATCTGATTGATGTTCTGGAGATTTTGCCTTCAGGTCAGGGAAGGATTTCACAGAATGTTCCCCAATTGTTTCTCATCAATAACATGAATTAGGAAAGAGTCCATGACTGAAATAAATTGAACACGGTCAGCTGGAAGGGCTCAAGGGACCTGGCCTTTTTTTTCTAATTTAATTTTGTTTTCAGTGTTTTCAAGCTGTCTTGCTTGAAAGCATTTTCCTGGGCGTAGAACCAACCTTTCACTGCATTGATTCATGGTAAGAGTTTGATTGAGCTCTCAGTGCCTCAAATGACTGTTCACACTGGAACAAACACTCCCTGCCATTGCTGCTTGAATAAGAACCAGGGAAAAGTGCCAGAGAGACCAGTGCAGGCCTGTTTATTGGCTTCAACTGTGAATTGAAGAGAAATGTGGCTCCGTGGAATGTGTTTTACTGCCTCACAGCAATTCCCAGGGTTTCTCTCTCACTCCTCAGGCCCAAAATTGCACCTAGTCTTAGCGAGTAGGAACATTTTGTCCTGAAATTTACGAGTGTTCAGAAATGTCCACATTTTTAAATTCAATGTTAACTTAGAAGCCAGTTTTCCACAGTTCTTTTAAAAAGAAACTTTCAAATTCAGAGTCAGTGTAAGGATTCTCTAAAGTTTTGACTGATCTTAAATTGTAAAACAATTTGGTCTGAATTATTATTAATAATAATCCTTGCCTTTTATGTCTCAAAGCATTTCACATGATTCACTGTAAAGTTACTGGCTGTGTATTTTGTAGCAAATGCAGCAGCAGCGTCCCACAAATAGCCACAAAATGACTGACTATTTTTATCTGGGGGATTGTTGGCCTGGAACAGCAACAACAAATTACATTTGTATAGCCTCTTTCACGTCCAAATAATCTGGACAGTCAAGGATTTGGACCCGAGCTAAGATGGATCAGGAGGGGTAAAGGACGGGGAAGAGAGATGCTTTTTGAATAGTCCCATGTAATGTTTAATATCCACATGTGAACAGGCAGCTTTAATGTCTCATCCAAAGGACAGATATAGTCTAAGAATAGGTGGAATTTTAGGACTTCATGAATATTTCAGAATCAATTCAGATTTGCCTACCTTGGGTTCCTTTTATTTTTACTCTGATATCTTTTTTAGTCAAGTGCTAATAACTTTAAAACCTTTTATGTGAGCCATCCATTTGGATCTTTAAGACGGAGGGAGACAGATGCTTGGGCAAAATTAAGAAGTATGGAGAGAAAAAAATAAGGAAATTGAATGAAAGAAAATGGTATTGTCAAAGGTGCCATCCTTAAGATGAAGCGTTAAAGGGTTCAACCTTTTTAAGGATCCATTTGCACAATTTGAAAAAAGAAGGGTGTTTCTCCCAGTGTTCTGGCCAACAATTCCCAGGGTAAAATTGTTCATTCACTTCATGACTGCTTGTGAGGCATTGCTATGTACAATTTGGCTGGCGTAAAAATACATCAATAAATAAATGCACCTATAAAATACATCAATCTTTTAGCTGCTGAGGTCCGGATATTGGATTTGAGAAACATTCAGGGGTCACATAAGCATTATTTTATCCTGATTGGCCAGTCCCATTGTCAGGCAGAGCCTGAGAACCCGGTGACCATTTCCGGTGTGTCACTTGCATTTGCTCGTTGGGCATGAAGTTGGAAGTGTTTGGCGGGCTGGATTAAATCATCCCACGGGATGCCAGTTGGACCAGCCAGAAATAAACAATCACTAAATCCTGTGAAGCGCTTTAAGATGTTTCAGCAACATCAAATGCAATTCTTCTTATAATTGACTGGAGCTAATTGGGAACGATGCTAAGTGTGACTATGTTTAGTGCCATTTAATGATGCACACTTATAATGTTCTCGCATTTCAGATGTCAAAGCCTTCCAAACGAATTGCTACATTGAGCAGCTCCCTAAAGAAAGTGTCCTATGTGTTCTTTGCTCTCTCTCATTGCTCTTAATATTTACAGATTTGGATTTATGATGAAGAACATGAGCTAATTCTGGCCAACCTTCTCTGCTTGGATGTGTCGGAGACGCGTTCATCAGACTCTCCACGCCTCATGAAATGCCATGGCTCTGGGGGATCGCAACAGTGGACGCTGGGGGTACGAGCAATTATGTGGGATGTCTTTACGATCTCAGAGATGTTGCAAACCACTCGTACTTCTCATTAGTGAAGTATTCAAAATCCTAAAAGATAAAGATAAAAGAAACTGAACTCTAATAATATGCTGAAGGAAAACTTGGCCTTTATCTCAAGGGGGTTGGAGCACAAAAGCGAGAAAGCGATGATTCAGCTATACAGGTCCCATCTAGAGTACTGTGGTCATTTTGGGCACTGCATCTCAGAACAATGCAGCTTCACCAGAATGATACCAGGGTTGAAAGAGTTAAATCATGAGGCTAGGTTGCATAAACTTGCCTTGTATTCCTTAGACCTCAGAAGGTTGAGGGAGATTCTAATCGAGCTGTTAAAATGATAAAGGGATTTGATAGTGTAGCTGCAGATAAACTATTTCCTCTGGTAGGGAAATCCGGAACAAGGGGACATAATCTTAAAATCAGAGCTAGGCCATTTAGGACTGAAATCAGGAATCATTTTATCACACAAAAGGCTGTGGATGCTGGAACAATTGAAATTTTAAGACTCTGGGTGATAGATATTTGTTAGTTAACGGTATCAAGGGATATGGAGTACAGGTGGGTAAATGAAATTGAGGGTACAGATCAGCCATGATCTAATAAAATGGTGGAGCAGGCTCGAGGGGCTCAATGGCTACTCTTTTTCCTACATTCCTAAAGAAAACGTCAAGGACTCAAGCATAGAGGAGAGCAGACTTCATTACAATAATGACTTGCAGAACTCTGTCCTTGGTCCTCCTCTTCACCTCTCCGCTTTACTCAATCTTCGCGGACCTGCCCTTGCCTGGTTTGATTCCTATCTCTCTCACCATCTCCACTTCGTTGCCTCTTAACAGTTTCTCCAGCACCCGCACTGTCACGTCTGGCGTCCCCCAGGGCTCTGTCCTTTGCCCTCTCCTCTTTAATATCTACAAGATTTAATATCTTGGTGACATCATCCGCAGACATGGGGTCAACTTCCACATGTATGCGGATGTACCCAATCTGCCTCCACCCTCAATTCCAGGACCACTGCTGTCCTGACAGACTGCCTGTCGGACATCAAGTCCTGGATGAGGGGAACTTTCCTACAGTTGAATGTGAACAAGACTGAGATCCTTCTGATTGGCTCTGGCCTGCTCCACGTCCCCCGACCCACCCGCTCCACTATTGGCGGGAGAACCTTCAGCCACTCTGCCCCCAGCCTCTGGAATTCCATCCCCCAGTCACTCCGCCTCGCCCCCTCCTTATCCTCCTTCAAGTTCCGCTTCAAGACCCTCCTCTTCGATCACGCCATCGGCCAACCCCTTCCCCTCCCCTCCCTTCACCCCCTGGCCCCAGCTCGGGTCTGAAATGCTGTACTCTGTCCAGCACCTTGGGACGTCCTCCCGATGTGAAAGACGCTATACAAATGTAATTTTGTTGTGTTGTTGTTCAACCTGTACTTGCTGCCTCTTGGTGACGTCATCCGCAGACATGGGTCAATTTACAGATGTGTATGGATGATGCCCAACTCTATCTGCTTCCACCCTTGACTTCAGGACCACTGTTGTCCTGACAGAATGTCTGTCAGACATCAAGTCCTGGGTGAGAGCTAACGTTCTACAGTTGAATGTCAACAAGACCGAGGTTCTCTGGATTGGCTCCAGTAAGCGCCTCCACACCTCAGGCACTTGACAGCATCACCATCCATGGATGCAAACTCCACCTTACTAATTCCGGAACCTTGGAGTCTTGTTTGACCCTTAAATATCCTTTCTCCCCCACATCCGTGCCATGACCCGCTCTGCCTTCCCCCACCTCTGCAACTTTGCCCGACTCCGCCACCGCCTCACCCCTCAGGCTGCCAAAACCCTCATTCACGCGTTTATCACATCTGTGCTCAACTACGCCAACTCCCTGCTTGTCGGCCTTCCCAACTCTTCCCTCCACAAGCTGCAGATCGTTTAGAAGCCGTGTCCTCTCCTGCACCAGGCTCCATGACCCCATTACCCCCTCCCTCGCCGGCTCCCATTCAAAATCATTGTCCTCGCCTTCAAGGCCCTCCATCTTCGGTAGTCGCGCCTTCAGCATCTCCGACCCCACCCTTTGGAACTCCATCCCACATCCCTTCACCTCGCTCCCTCCCTTGCCTTCTTCAAGGTACATCTCAAGATCCTCCTCTTTGACCATGCCTTCAGCCACCCTCCCTTACCCCAACTGCTCTGTCCAAATCCATGATTTCCTCCTGATGTGAAAGGCACTATACAAATGTAATTTTGTATTGTATTTGTATAGATCCCCTGATAGAGGGATAATGTCCCCAACCGTTTCACAAAGACGGAGTTTGACACGGGCAAGGCAGAAGGGGGAGGGAACCGTAGGCACGGTGCAAGAATTATATTACATAAAGAGCAACGAATGTGTGGAATGAGCAACCTAGGGTGGCAGATTAGCAATTTCAAGAAAGAATAAAATGGATAATTGACCAAGAAATTGATTGAAGGGTACGAGAGATTGAATAATATATGTCTTTTTTTCACTTGAGTCAGTTGGATGACGATGGTCTTTTTCTGGCCCTGCTCAATCCCATTGTCTTTTGCAGTAACAAAGGAGCAAAGCAAATTGAAGCATCCCTTATTTTGTTGGAATAATTGGATAGTATATGGAGATAAAGTGGGGGACTTTCAACAGAACAGTTGGTGGAACAGAGAGATACGTACAAAAATAATTCAGAGTGCCTTATCAGCCACAAAAATGGCTGGTTACAACTGTGTGAGGAGAATTGTCTGCAGCTTTTTCAGCACTGAAACTCAGTCAAAGAGGTATTGTAGCATGAGGTGGATGGCTTTAAATATTGTAAGAAAGTGAGGAATTCTCATTTCCTAGCATTTGTAGATGCTAGGAAAGAGTTTATTCCATTGGTGCAATGATCTGTGCAACGAATTCAGAGATGCTGGCTAGAACATGCATTGTTGCTGTGGTAACAGTCACCATAGCAACAATGCTATTTATGATGCATATTGTAACGGTACTGCTTCTAGCGGTGTTGAGATGGGAAGAAACCTAACTGAGAAAGTGGGTAATTGATCAGTGGAAGCTCAATGTATCTGGTGATAGATGATTTGCACTTTAACGAATCGGCACGTTACATATAGGATAAAGGATAGCTGGCACTGAGTTCAGGGCTGTAATTCAATTTAATTATACTGATAATATCATAAATGGCAAGATGGGAATTTATGAACTTCAGAACTTCAAACCTGAATTACTTACTATTGGGTGTTTTGTTGCTGCACATAGAAGATCCCACAGTCCTACTAATAAAATTATATTTGCTGGGGGAAGTGAATGCTTGAGCTGGTTTGCATGCTTTTCATCCTTCGGAACTTGAAGTCCCGTAATGTAGTCATGAGAGCACTGGCCTCAGAAGCGAGAGGACCCAGGTTTGATTCCCAGTTGGAGCGAAACCTTAGGCAAGTTTCCTTACTCCACACACCTCTGTTTACCTAGCAGTAAGTGGAAATCCGGTTATTGTTCAATTGGCGGATCACTTTCTGGGCGTAATAATCCGTCCATATAAAGAAATTTGGTCAATTCACTTCACAATATATTCTGTGAAGCACTTTGAGACATCTAAGAGACGTGAAAAGCGCTATGTCAAATGCAAGCATTATATTTATTATTATCAGTCTGGGCTGGGTTCAATAATAATAATAATTCTTATTGCATGTGATATAATAAAAATAATCCTTGCATTTGATATAGTGCCTTGGGACGTCCTCCCGACGTGAAAGGCGCTATACAAATGTAATCTTGTTGTTGCTGTAGTGCCTTATCATGTCTTCAGGATTGCTCAAAGAGCTTCACGGAATATACTGTGAAGTGAATTGACTGTATGTTTGTGGGTGAAAGTGAAACTCGGTAGCCAATTGCGCACAGCAGTGTCCCACAATCAGTTGTGGATTGAGTGACCAAATTTTTTTTCTTGAGGGATTATTCAATTCCTTACTCCAGGCATGTGGAGTAAGGAAACTTGCCCAAGGTTTCGCCCTCCCGGGAATCAAACCCAGATCTTTCGCAGTGCTCTAATCAATGAGCTACAGCGCTCATACTGACAGATCCTGTCTCCACTTTCTGATGGTTGTAAGATATCGGTCAGTTTCCAGCAGGCCTCAGAGGAAAACTGGAGCACTAACATTGGCTTTGTGTACATGTGTGTGTGGGAGGGGTGAGGAGTGGAGAGACTGACCTGAGAATTTGCTCTGGTACAACAGGAGTGCGCTGCCTTTTGCGGTTGGGATTAATTTGTGTGGTTGGTGTGGAGAGTTTTAATCTATGTTTGGCTGCTCAGTACCTGACCTGGGAATACTTGGTACAAGATATCTAAAGTGGAACCATGCCCAATTTCCTCCTATTGGCATTCACAGAATCATAGAATTATACAGCACAGAAGGAGGCCATTCAGCCCGTCGTGTCTGTGCCGGCTCTTTGAAAAGAGCTATCCAATTCAATCCCACTCCCCTGCTTTCTCCCCATAGCCCTGCAAACTTGCCCTCCCCAAATAATTATCTACTTCTCTCTTAAAAGTTGTTATTGCATCGGCTTCCACCACCCTTTCAGGCAATGCATTCCAGATCCGAACAACTCACTGTGTGAAAAAAATTCTCCTCTGTTTCTTTTAACAACTATTTTAAATCAGTGTCCTCGGGTTACTGACCCACCACCAGTGGAAATAGTTTTGCCTTGTTTACCCTCAAATCCCCTCATAATTTTGAAAACTTCTATTAAGTCTCCTCTTAACCTTCTCTGCTCCAAGGAGAATATCCTAACTTCTGTAGTCTCTCCTGATAACTGAAGTCTCTCTTTCTTGGTACCATCCTGGCAAATCTTCTTTGCAGCCTCTCCAATGCCTTGACATCCTTCCTAAAATGTGTTGCCCAGAACTGAACCCAGTCTCTAGCTGAGGCCTAACCAGTGTTTTATAAATGTTCATCATAACCTTCTGACTTTTGTATTCTATGCCCCTATTTATAAAGCCTAGTATCCCATATGCTTTTTTAATAGCTTTATCTACCTGTCCTGCCACCTTCAAAGATTTACTTATATGAACCCCCAGGTCTCTGTCCCTTCACCCCCTTTAAGATTGTACCATCAGCTTATATTGCCTCTCCTCATTCTTCCGCCCAAAATGCATCACTTCACATTTCTCCACATTAAACTTCATCTGCCACGTATCTGCCCATTTTACCAATCTGTCTATGTCATTTGCAGTCTGCTACTATCCTCCTCACTGTTTACTACTTTTCCGAGTTTAGAACTTGTGCTCCCTATACCCAAGTCCAGTTCATTTATATAGATGAAAAAGAGCAGTGGTCCCAAAATCTCCCCTAGGGGACAACACTGCACACTTCCCTCCAGTTAGAAAAACAACTGTTTACTACCACTCTCTGCTTTCTGTCTCCCAGCCAGTTCTGTATCCATGCTGCCACTGTCCCTTTAAAACCGTGGGCTTCTATCTTGCTTACAAGTCTCTTGTGTGGCACTTTACGAAATGCCTTTTGAAAACGACATTAACTGCACTACCTTCATCCACCCTCTCCGTTACTTCATCAAAAAACTCTTGTCAGGTTTGTTAGACTTGATTTGCCTTTAACAAATCTGTGTTGGCTGTCCTTTCTTAACCCATATTTTTTTAAGTGAAAATTTGTTTTGTCCTGGATTATAGTCTCTAGACATTTTTCCACTACTGATGTTAGGCTGACTAGCCTGTAGTTCCCAGGACCAGGTAACTTATCTATCTTGAGCACCGACAACCTTTTTAGTACCTCCTCTCGGTTTATTCCTATTTTATCCAATTTCTCTACCCTCTCCTCTGATGCTGTCGCATATGCTGCATCCTCTTCTTTTGTGAAGACAGATGCAAAGTATTCATTCAGTACGTCAACCATGCCCTCTGCTTCGACAAAAAGATTTCCTCTTTGGTCCCTAATTGGCCCCACCCTAACTTTGACTAACCTTTTATTGTTTATATTATTATAAAATACCTTTTATGTTACCCGATAATTTTTCTCAAATAGTCTCTTTGCCCCTCTTATTTCCTTTTTCAGTTCTCCTCTGTACTTTCTATATTCTATTTAATTATCTTCTGGTATTTTGGACTTGACATTTATCATAAGCCTCCTTTTTCTGTTTTATTTTAATCCCAATTTCCTTATTCATACAGGGAGGTTTGGATGCCCTACGTTTCCCATTTGTGGGAATGTATTTGTTCTTTCCCCAAACTATCTCCTCCTTGAGGGCTTCCCATTGCTCATTAGCTGTTTTACCTGCCAATCTTTCTTTCCAGTCCACCTTGGCCAGGTCTCACTGGTTTTAACTCACTGAAAATAGCCCTCTTCCAGTTGAATAACTTCACCTTTGATTGCTCCTTGTCCCTTTCCATAAGTACTCTAAACCTAATGATGTTGTGATCACTGTTGTCCAGATGCTGTCCTACTGAAACCTGCTCCACTTGCCCCACTTCATTCCCCAGAACTAGATCCAGCATTGCTTCCTTCCTCGTTGGGCTGGAAATTTATTGATCCAGAATCCTGCACACATTTCAAGAATCCTTCCCCCTCCTGGCCCTTTACACTGTTATTTTGCCAGTCTATGTTAGGATAATTAAAGTCCCCCATTATCACTATTCTATTGGTTTTGCATCTTTCTGAAATCGGCTTGCAGATTTGCTTGTCTTTTCTTTCCCACTATTTGGTGGTCTATAGTTTACAACAACAACAAGATTCCATTTATAGAGCGCCTTTCACGTCGGGAGGACATCCCAGGGGGCTGTACAGTTGGGTCAGGACCCGAGCAGGGGGGAAATGGTCAGGGTGAGGGGAGGGAAGGGAGGGAGCGAGGAGGGGGGAAATGGTCAGGGGGAGGGGAGGGAAGGGAGGGAGCGAGGAGGGGGAAATGGTCAGGAGGAAGGGAGGGAGTGAGGAAGGGGTAGAGAGTCGAGAGGGGAGCTGAAGGCTCGGTCAAAGAGAAAGGTCTTGAGACCGGCCTTGAAGAAGGAAAGGGAGGAGGCGGCAAAGGCACTGGGCGATGGAGTTCCAGAGCCGAGGGGCTGAGAGGCTGAAGGCCCGGCCACTGATGGTGGGGCGGGGGGGTGTGGAGGAGACCGGAGCCAGAGGAACGGAGGGTACGGGCAGGTAGGTAGGGGGATAGTAGGTCGGAGAGGTAGGAGGGAGCAAGGCCGTGAATGGCCTTGTAGGTGAGGGTGAGGATCTTGAATTCGATCCTCTGGGGGATGGGGAGCCAGTGGAGGTGAGCGAGGGTGGGAGTGATGTGGTCGCGAAGCCTGGTGCGGGACAGTACACGAGCTGCAGAGACTGGCACTGCCTACCACCACCTCTGCAACACTGCCAGACTCCACCACTGCCTCACCCCTCAGGCTGCTGAAACCCTCACCCACATATTCATCACCTCAAGGCTCGATTACGAGAACTCCCTCCTCATCGGCCTTCCCAACTCTTCCCTTCACAAGCTGCAGATCATCCAAAACTCTGCAGCTCGTGTACTCTCATTCACCAGACTCCGTGACCCCATCACTCCCACCCTCGCCCGACTCCACTGGCTCCCCATCCCCCAGAGGATCGAGTTCAAGATCCTCGTCCTCCTACCTCTCTGACCTACTGACTCCCTACCAACCTGCTCGCTCCATCCGTTCATCAGGCTCCGGCCTGCTCCATGTCTCCCGCCCGACCCGCCCTATCATCAGTGGCCGGGCTTTCAGCCTCTGTGCCCTCACACTCTGGAACTCGCTCCCTCACTTGCCTCCTTTAAGGCCCGTCTCAAGGCCTTCCTCTTCGACTGTGCCTTTGATTGCCCTCCTAACCCCACCGTCCCTTGTCTCCACCCCCAGCTCGGGTGCACATCCTTGACTGTCCAGCATCTTGGGAAGTTCTCCCGACGTGAAAGACGCTGTGCACATGTAATTTGTTGTTCAACTCACTTTTGCTAAATGTGTTTGAAAAGAAACACTAACTAGTTAACATCCTTTGTTTTGCAGATTAACAATCGCATATACCAAGTATCAGCTGGGCAGTGCCTTAAGGTGGCAGATCCTTCCAGCCTCAAAGGGTATGTTGCCGTGGCGATTTGTGATGGCTCTGCTTCACAGCAATGGCAGATAGAGAACTGATGGTACAAAAGAGTCGACCACAATGTTTTATGAAGAGCTAGTCTAAATCGCTGCTTTGATTGAAATGTTTCCATTGAAGACATCTCTAAGTAACAACAAAATGGCAATTACCTTTAAATAGAGGACCGGATGTCGGTTAAAAGTTTTTAACTGTCTGGTTTTAATGATTTAAGATAGTAATTTTATCACAAAATATTTTTCTATTATAGCCTCTAGAACATTGTTTTATGGACATCATGAAGAGATGAACAGCTTTAAACATGCGAAAAGCAGTAAAAGAATAAATATTGATGATTGTTATTTATGATTTATTTCCGTTCGTTAGGATGATGATATACAGATGACTTTTTCCCGAGCTTGCCGGGATTGTATCAGTTTATATGCATGTTAAATGTCCCCGGTTTAAAAGTTTCAGAGAATTTGCAATAATGTGAATGTGGACATGAATAGAGCCACTTGAGACTGAATGTTTTTATCATGTATGATTATGTGCGTATGGATGTGTTTAAATTGTTACTATCTAGTGTGCATTATATATTTTTTTTTAAAAATCAATGAACTAAATTATCAGAAATGTTCATTGAATTTCAGTAAATTGTGCCAGTAGAAAATATTTGAATATGGATAAAGGTCTTGACAACAGATGGGCACCACTAGTCTCATTTTATGTCAAACAATAACATTGCACTTTGAGACGTCCTCCTGACGTGAAAGGTGCTAAATATATAAAAGTGTAAATTGCATTGCAAACAGCTGTTTGTGAGACATCGCTGTGCGCAAATTAGCTTCGGTGTTAGCCCACAAACCACACACAGTCCCACCACTTTGCAGTATATCCTGGAAGCGCTTTGAGACATCTCGACAACATGATATATCAAATGCATTCAAAATTATACACTACTTTTTTTTATAGAGCCTTTCACACTGGTCACAAAAAGGAAATAGAAATTCTTACAAAATTTCTCACCAGTTATTTAAATACCTCATTTATAAGGTTTAAGGATTTCTAAATGAACAAAAGAAATTGATACAATGAGTCCACTGGTGATCATAGAATCAAAGAATTATGCAGCACAGAAGGAGGCCATTCGGCCCGTCATTTCTGGACCGGCTCTTTGAAAAGAGCTTCCAAATCAATCCCACTCAAACGTTCACCTCCCAAAACCCTGCAAACTTGTCCTCCCCAAATAATTATCTACTTCTCTCTTAAAAGTTGTTATCGAATTGGCTTCCACCACCCTTTCAGCCAATGCATCCGAACAACTCGCTGTGTGAAAATATTTCTCCTCACCTCCCCTCTGTTTTTTTTAACAACTATTTTAAATCGGTGTCCTCGGGCTACCGACACCCATCCACCAGGGAAATAGTTCCTCCTTGTTCACCCTATTGAATCCCCTCATAATTTTGAAAACTTCTCTTAAGTCTCCTCTTAACCTTCTCTGCTCCAAGGAGAATAATCTTAGCTTCTCTATCCTCTCCTGATAACTGAAGTCCCTCATCCCTGGTACCATCCTGGTAAATCTCCTTTGCAGCCTCTCCAATGCCTTGACATCCTTCCTAAAGTGTGGTGCCCAGAACTGAACCCAGTCTCTCGCTGAGGCCTAACCAGCGTTTGATAAAGGTTCATCATAACTTCCTGACTTTTGTATTCTATGCCCCTATTTATAAAGCCTAGTATCCCGTATGCTTTTTTAACAGCTTTATCTACCTGTCCTGCACCGTCAAAGATTTACTTATATGAACCCTCAGGTCTCTCTCTTCCTTCACCCCCTTTACAATTGTACCATCAGCTGATATTGTCTCTCCTCATTCTTCCACCCAAAATGCATCACTTTGCATTTCTCCACATTAAACTTCATCTGCCACGTGTCGGCCCATTTTACCAATCTGTCTAACTCCTCTTGCAGTCTGCTACTATCCTCCTCATCTTTTACTGCTTTTCCTAGCTTAGTATCACCTGCAAACTTGGAAATTGTACTCCCTATGCCCAAGTCCAGGTCATTTATATAGATCAAAAAGAGTAGTGATCCCAAAACCTCCCCTGGGGGACACCACTGCACACTTCCCTCCAGTCAGAAAAACAACAGTTCACCTCCACTCTCTGCTTTCTGTCTCCCAGCCAGTTCAGTATCCATGCATTCACTGCCCCTTTCATACCATGGGCTTCTATTTTGCTTATCAAATGGTTTTTGAAAATCCATATAAACTACATCAACTGCACTACCTTCATCCACCCTCTCCGTTACTTCATCAAAAAACTCTAATCAGATTTGTTAGACTTGATTTGCCTTTAACAAATCTGTGTTGGCTGTCCTTTATTAAACCATATTTTTCTAAGCGAAAATTTATTTTGGCCCGGATTGTAGTCTCTAGAAGTTTCCCCACTACTGATGTTAGGATGACTGGCCTGTACTTCCCAGGTTTATCCTTCTGCCCCTTTTTGTACAGGGGAGTAACATTTGTAACCCTCCAGTCCTCTGGCACCACCCCAGTGTCCAAGGAGGATTGAAAGATTGTGGCCAGAACCTCCACTGTTTCCACTCTTACCTCCCCCAGTAACCTAGGATGCATCCCGTCCGGACCAGGTGGCTTATCTATCTTGAGCATCGTCAAACTTTTTAGTACCTCCTCTCTGTTTATTCTTATCCTATCCAATTTCTCTACCCTCTCTTCCGATACTGTGGCATTGACTGCATCCTCTTCTTTTGTGAAGACAGATGCAAAGTACTCAGTCAGTACGTCAGTCTTGCCCTCTGTCTCGACAAAAAGATTTCCTCTTTGTCTCTAATTGGCCCCACCCTACCTTTGACTAACCTTTTATATTGATTTGCTTACAAAATACCTGAAGGCTCCCTTTTATGTTATGTTCTAATCTTTTCTCATATAATCTCTTTGCCCCTTTTATTTCTTTCCTTCTTTACTTTGTGATGATAATAATCCTCACGTCTTTGAGACGTCTCAATGCGCTTCACAGAATCTACTGTAAAGTGAATTGATTGTATATTTTGTGGGTGATATCTATTTAATATGACCATTTTACTATTGAATGTGCACACTGGCAAAATGATACATTCTTTTGAATGAAAAATAGCTGGCTATTTGAATTAAGATCTGAATTTAAACACGTTGCACCATTTTGTTTGTATTTAAGTCACTTTGTGAATCTCAGGCATGATTCTTTCAGAGCAGTCTCTTCCCCATGTGCAGAGAACATGCCTCCTTATCTTGAACCTTTGAAGTTTACTCTTGGGGATCTATTAAGCGTGTCTGTACCATCAGGAGTAGCAAAAACAACAAGCTGTGTTTATATAGGACCTTTCATGTGGCATAGCATCTCTGAATGCTGAAAAGTCCCTGAGAGTAGTGGCTAGCACACCCGCAAGCGAGAGGACCCGGGTTCGATTCCCAGGTGGGCAAAACCTTAGGTAAATTTCCTTACTCCACACTCCTCTGTTTACCTAGCAGTAAGTAGGAACCTGGTTGTTAGTCAATTTGCAGTACGCTTTCTGGGGGTAATAATCCCTGAACATTTTTGGGAGGGTCTCTCAATCCACGACTGTTTGTGGAACATTGCTGTGTGTAATTTTCATTTGTTCTCCATTGTAATGTAACTCACTACCCAAGACAATGGGTGTGAAGCCAGCTCTCTTGCCTCTACCACTGTTGATTCAATGGGACTGAATTAATTATTCTTTCAAAGAGCAGCACGGACACAATGGGCCGAATGGCTTTCTTCTGTGCTTAGATTTTGTGGTTTTATGTAAATTGCGACTGAAGAGACTGCACTATGAGCAGAGTGAATTAACTCGCTGATCGATTTTCACTGATGTTTATTCTGTGCCATATGGAAATATTATGCGCCATGTGTGCAAAGGGCATTTCAGTGCCTTTAATTCTGCTCATGAAAATTATCTTTTTAAATTACTCAATGAATAAATCCTTTTCATTCTTTAATTACATTATTGAGGGCACCGTCTGTACACATGTGGTTGACCATGGTTTACACGTAGCACATAATGAGATGACAGAGTAGGCAAGTCTCCATCCAGCACTTCCCTGTCATCCCAGCGTTGGGCACTCACTCACCAAGTGGAGAATGAAAGGTGTGGTTCAGGTAAATTTCTCAAGTGTATTTTATCATGTTGAATAATGGTTGACCAACACTGTTACGTTTTGATATAATGCTGTGTTGTGGTGAATTTTTATTCTATATTCTAACAGATCATGTTGTGCGTTACAGTGTTTCAGCCTCATTGTTAATTCCATTTAGAGCTTATTTATGGGATGTTATCTCCTACAATGACCTTCATGGATTCATAATCTTTGGGAGGATTTTTTTATTGCTAATAAACACTATGTTACGTAATTCTTTCTCTTTCAAATGTTATACCTGTGGAAAACTGGATAGTGTGCTTATTGTACAGGTGTTCCATAACCACACTACCCAGTTGAATTATGCGATGAGCTGCCTAGAGATTATTCAAATCAGCAGAAAAACCAACTCCTGTGTGCAGTTGTTCCATTTCTAAGTCACCATGGTTTTACTATATTATTCACTGTGCGAACAAAGTCTGTACGAAAATATTCAAATTGAATTTGCCAATTTTGAAGTGTCTGCGTTTCCAGTATATATATACCTCTCCGAATTGTTGGAGCGTGGCATGATGTCTCAAATAAAGGAAAATTTAGACATTCGTCGTTGACTGCATTGTTTATATTGTAATTAATATCAGAGACACTTAATGGTTACTAAAGCTTCAGAATTTTACTTTGACGATAGCATTACATATACAGAATGTCCACAAAGTCCTCTTACCCCGTTACAAAACAGTGATATGAGACTATGGAGGAGCTGAAGCAAGCTGTCAAAGATACATTTCACCTCCATCACGTTACAGAAGATGTCGCAACGAACTTGGCAACGCATCATTATCTGCCATGAAAATGATGGTACTCACTCACACCGATTCTCTGGATGCCTAAATACAGTTAAACACTTGTACTGAATAATACAGTGAAGTACTTCTAAATACAATTATCATTATTCTTCCACATGTTTCAGTTATTTGTCGGTGCACTGCAGAAACAAAAGCGTAGGGATAACAGGACTTTGTGGACGCCCTTTATAATAAAGTGCACATGTACACATTATTAAAAAATACACATTTGCTGGTAGGACACGGTAAATACTCTGTGCAAAAGAGTGATACAGCATACCTCAATGTCTGTTTTGTCTTTCCGTCAGCTGAGCGTCTGGCTCATGCGGAAACCCTTCACCTTAAGGTCAAACCCTAGGCTGACATTCCAGTGCAGTCAACATTGGGTGAGTGCTGCAAGAGTTGTACTTCAAGTGAAGCATTAAACAGAGGTGCCACTGTTCAGGTGGACATTACTATATAAAGAGAGGAGAATTTTTTTTTACAAACTATAAAAAATCTAAAATCTTAAATCTAAGACCATCAAAACCAAACTGAGTTCCACGTATATATGTCACCTACACATGGAAATTCCCTGGTCTCGAATGGAATGGCTGAAGGGACGCATTCTGCTTACCGATTAGGTTGGCAAGAGCAAAGGTTTGAGGACCCCAGAGTGTGTGTTGGGGTAACTGTTGGGAGTTTAACCAGCTAAAACTGCATAGTTTTATATTGAGCACTGTCTGGCAAGCTTTCCTGCTGCTTGTCCAGCTAGGACTACCCAACCTGTTGAGGCTTTGGCTTGC